CTCGGCCGGCGGGCCCGTCGCAACCGTCTCTTCCTGTTCCTTGGTCCCGGACACTGTCCCGGAACACACTGGACCTTTTATCACTACACACTAGTCCCACCGTCACACGTAGTCGCACAATGTCCTGAGTTCACCAAAGTCATCGGCGGGTGCTTGTCGGATCGGGACCACCGACTGTCCGAATCTCGTTTTCGGGACGGTCGTCAGGTTGCCCGTGGTTCTAGCATCACACCAACACTACACGCGGTAAAAAGATACCGAGACACACGCACTGCACGCGGTCACACTACACTAGCTCCGGCTTTTTCCCTCGCCTCGTTTCGTTTCGTTCCGTTCCGTCTCGGCTCCGTTCGGCTCGGCTGACCTCAGGAAGAGAGTACGAGACCCGTCCTAGCAGGCTCCTAACCTGAAACTAAGAGCTACCGAACGACCGATGCGATGTCTGGAGGAGGTGCAGAGCCGTTGGTGGGGAGTGGGCGGAGTCTAGACGACGTGGAGGGGGCTGGCCGGCCCACCGATCGACCAATCCCGTCGCGTACACTCTCCCCACTACCCGTCGCGGCTGTTGGATTCAGAGGAGAGCGTCGGTGCGGTGGGGACAAGCTGCGCGGAGAAGGGAGACGCCGCGGAAAGGACCGGAGGCTGGCTAGGTGGTCCCTACCAGAACGGATCTCATATTTTCAGCTCCCCGACCGCCCTTTTCTCCAACCCCTGCCGATCGTCGGTTCCCTTCTTCTTTTTCTCCCGGCGTCTCCCTCCTCTTTGTATCTATATTTCTTATTTTCACCCCCACCACCACCCGCCACGCAGACAGTAACCCTTCGATTGCTCGTTGGTGACTGCGAGCAGCCTTTGTTGCGAGCGCCGTTACGATTTTGAGACGTTTGGAAGGAGAACGAGGTGCGATTGAGTTTCGAAGGGGTTACTGACAACACGGCACCGGGCTTTTTCGAAACCGCAGCTCCACACCGACGGTCTGCCTTCCATTTTCTTTTTTCGACCCTTTCGTTACCCGAGTCGCTCCTGCTTAACTCCGTTTATTAGATGCAACCGTCACGCTATTTCTCTTAACTGATCGATGTCGATCGATAGGTATACTGGAATTCAGCATACTGGACCTCGTGGAATTTAGCGAATCGCAGCGAAAGGGTCGATCGGACCGTGTTCCCCTCGCGCAGTCGAAAGCAACTTTGATCGAAAATAAGAATGCATAACTGAATTATGCATCAATCTCTATTGTTCATGCATCGTAAATACGGAAATTGCAGGAAAATGCACGCGCACAAACGACAGCCCGCCTTTTCGCGCGGCCGACTCTTTAACTTTCGAATTCGACGAGATTTCGATCCTCTATTTTCACTCTTTCGATATATTCAATTATCGAGCATGGGATTATTGAACGTTACATTCAACATTACATTCAGTCTTCATCAGAAATTATTTGGAGCCCCTGTGCATAAATATTGTGTGTTAAATATTGTGCTTTAAAGATTATCCTTTTCGAGTAATGAGATTAGAATTCGTAGTTTTCTAAACAATCGAAGTTCCAGCGGACATTGTGCGGACAAAGTCGTGCGAATCAGAAGGATCAAAGGCGTCGTCGAAGCGACGCCCCTTGATTCTCGTAAACCGCTTCCGATGAACGCGTTAATCCGCGTTACCGTGTTAAGCACACTTCGTGACAGCCGAGTTAACCGACGCCGGGTGCTGGATAATGCAACTTTAATTTCCGCGGCGTTCGCCGGTTGCACGAGTTAATCATCGCCGGTGGATGATAGTCGCTGTTGACGCGGAAACGAAAACAACTGTAACTCGATTCACGCCAGCTACGCCGCGTACTTGTTGCTATGCCTTTCCGCTGATTGATCAACTATGGCGGAAAATGATTGATATTTTGCGGCTGCGTTTCGAAAAAACGGTTCGTTACTTGGCCTTGAAATTTCGTGTTACAGGGAGATTCGGACACCGTTTACGACTCAGGTTTTTTTACTTGAAGAAGAATAACTGGAAAATTTCTTTGCTTACGCTTTCATGAATAGAAGTTCGAATTTTTAAGTTTGTGTTTTAACGAAGAAGAAATTAGTTTGGAGAAGAAAAAGGTCGTTAAGATAATTTAATGATGTTTTATAAAGAGAAGAGATTATTTTGAAGTTGCACCCTTTACTGATCGAAAAAAAAAAATTGAAATAACAGAATTTTAAAACAATATTCTTTTCGAATAACTTGGAAAAATTTGAGTTTGAAGTCTGGACTTTAACTTCATATTTTAGATTTGAGATCTTTGAGACTGGCTTCGAAGATTGATCACACGTCACTGAAGAAATAAAGAAATCAAGAAAATATTGAAGACATTTCTTTCACTTTCAGGTTTGCAGAAGATAAATCAGTCAAAATTTATAGCTGATAGTTTAAACTTTCGTCAAAGAGTTTAAGAGACTGAATGAATCTTTGAAACATTCGATTACTGTTTTTTAGATGAATCGGAAAATGTCATTGGAACTACAAAGAAATTTTGAGGAAGATGAAATATCAGAGACATTTAAAACAAGAAATTGTTTAGGTTGTTCATTCATAACAAAAATTACTAGGAGATCGAAGAATATAAATAAATCGTTGAAACTTGACAATTATAACAAATTGCGATTAGATTTTGTTTATTGTATTTTTGTTTCACTTTACCACTATTTTATTTTGGAGTTAAACTAGAATGTAGCGTTGACATAAACATAAACGTTGTGACCATAATACTTCGAAAACTTAATGGACTTCGAAATTTCAAGTTTGAACTTTTTTTTGACGTATCAAGATATAAATTCCGGAAGAAATAAAATTTTTGCCTTAATTGTTGACTAAATATTTTACATTCGAAAACGACATCCATAACAATTACTTAAATAACAATAAAGACACGGAAATTTAATTCGATGTTTCTACATGTAAATTATTGAAGAAGCGCGGAAATTTAAAAGTTGAAAAATAAACATAGATTATGATTCGAAGAATATAAGTAAATTTTGTTACAAAAAGATAAAAATTAATAGCTAATTCTTAACAATAGTTCGATAAAAAATTTATTATAGAAAAATTTGATTCGACAGCTTTGAAGTCTCCATCGAGCGAAGAAATGGAGGAATCGAGAAAACTTCAAGTGTTTATAATCTCCTTTGGCAAATTGGAAAATAGTCACGAAAGAAATGCAAGAATTGTAAAGAAATTGAAGACATTTCGATTTTGGTTATATTTACACCAACTTAGACTGCGAAAGACTAAAGTTTTAAATAACATACAAAATTTACCGGGTTAACTAACTTTGACATCTGATTCTTCATTTACGAAGTAAAACGCTCAGAGAATGAAGAAGTAGAAAAATCCTTAAAACATTTATAATCTGCGGCCAAACTTTGTTTTGCCGAGTGCAAGAAAATTTCAGCGAAGAAATAAAGAATTCACACTCCTATTTCTTTTGGTAAATCGTAAATAGGTAAACTAAAAATAGAGTTTAGAAATTTATGACTTTTCAATCATTTTTGTAGCAATTTTAATTGTAAGTTACGATAATTTCAAAGTGTCAGAATATTATAACAAAATGTATATTCAATGTTTCGGAATCCAACTTTCGAGTCTTCGATGACAAAACGAAAAGAATCATGGCGTCAATAAACTCGACATCAAATTTGAAAATAAGTAAATCGCTGAAAAAATGACATTTGAGTTGCAGTGTTAAAAATTTTACAATTTGAAAATAATTCATATAATAATTAATATTACTGTCGAATATTTAGACAAGAACAAAATGTTTGTAATTTATGAAAATAGAAATCATTCCAAAAAATTTCAATTTGGCAATTTGTTTTGTTTTCAAAATTTGAATATAAAACTTCGAAAAATTAAAAATTCTTAAGATATTCAGTAGAATTCTCGAAATATTTTGACAAGTATGAAATGTTCGATAAAAATTGAATTTTTTTTCAGTAAAATCAAGTATCAATCAAATTTCAATTTACCAAATTCACGA